CTGTGCTTCCATAATCTTCCATACGCATCCCTGAATTGATTCGAGGTGTCTCTTTTTCTTTCAACTCCACCTTGCCATCATTGGCGCTCTCAACGAAGGAGCAGTGCTCATGAGGGTGCCAATCATAGGAAATCACAACCTTAGTGACCGAAGACAATTGCTGGGCACCTTGGCCAACCCGCAACAAACACTGAATTATTGAAACGAAACTGAAAGGAAGGCGGTAAACACAAAAGCTGGATGATTTCAAAATCTTCACTGTTCCCAGCATGCACGATGCAATTCCATGCAATTCCATGCAATTCCATGCAATTCCAGGGTTGCAGCTTCATTAGTTCTCGTGCCGTGTCTCAGCATCTCCATTCTCTATCACTATAATTCCTGTCAATTTTTATCCCCAAATTCATGAGCAGCCATAGACATAAAAACGAGCAGCGCAGTCAAATTGATCGCGCATGTTGTTTATAATCGCAACGATTTCTTCAGATGTCTGCACGGCCAATGTGCCAGAAATAAAGTCGTTCTGCACGTCGATGACAACGAGTGCCTTATCTGGACACAAGGGGGGCCAAACGTAGATAGCTGGTGGCTGGTGCTGCCTATGGGTTTTCATAGTTTTTCTTTAGCAAGTTGTTCACTCTACTACCCAGTCTTGGTATGTCTTGGTCCTATTCGGAATTATTCGGTACATCAATTTGGAAAGAAATCAGCACCTTCTTAGATGTAGCTGGTTTCAGAACGTTTCTGGATGTTTCTGATGCCGGGATCGCTCGTGTCGTTCTCAAACTTTTGATAGCTGTTGAATGGAGGCTCTTGCTTTGAAAAGAGGGGCAGGGCGATTGACAGGACTGGTTTTGAACCTTGTCCGGTCGTGTTGCGGTATGTTGTGGCGATGCGTTGATGATGTTGATGTTTAGAGTGTTCAAGATTCATCAAGGTTCTGTCCGGGTGGTGCCACTTCTGGGGGGAATTGCTTTCTTCAGAAAACAACAGCTGGACATAGTTGAACTCAATAGAGAGCTAGTTGAGCCTCAAACCAATTGTTAAGCAGTGTTTTTTTTGGGGGGCTTGGGTCCTATACACTAAGTTGGGGTACCTACGCAGAGTCTACGCAGGACTACGCAGTGTCGAAGCTAGCCTAGGCGGAAGCACGTGTCAAAACGACTCGTGCCTATCCCTAAAAATCAACAAGTGCCTACGCGAAGAGCCTACGCCGCCCAAAACACACATGATCAGCCTACGCAACATATCATGCAGTTCCCTTTTATCTAATTTTCATCATCTGCAAGAAAGGAAACGATACTAAATTGGCTCAACTATATTATTCACATCAGTTCTCTCTGGAGCCTCCCATAGCCTTCCTGATCTTCCTGTGTCATTCTTGCCATGCCGAAACACGGTTTTCCTCCGAATCGTCTTCGACGACGGATCGTAAAATCGCAGGAAAGCATGAAGCTCGTTCAAACCGATGGTTCCACTCTTGTCAGTGTCGAACTCCCTTAGGAGTTCGTCCAACTGCTCATTCGACAGCTCGGTGCCTGCCAGCTAACACTTCGTCACCACGAGTCTTCGCTTGGGCATGACAAACCAAGACAACAATGACAATAGTCATTAAATGTCATCAATAATCAATACTCAAGATGGATCGCCTGGAAAGGCATCCCGGAGAAAGAATGCCAGCCTAAGTCGCAAGTCCCAATCTGTCTCTGACCACCAATATCAATGGAATATCCATGGATCACATCTTGGTTTGGGTGTGCTGTGCCATCATCCTGCGATATCCCGCGAATCTTCCAAGCCGCTCCGATGTTTCCAGCTGGCCATTTTCATTTGCATCGTACGCTTTGAAGATGCTTGCCTCTGCACTCTGCACTGCAGGAGAAGAGTGCAGGCTACGTGTCATGGTATCTACAGTATGTATCAGTATGTAGTATAGTCAGTATAGTCTGACTTGCCGCAGATCTTCACGGTATCACTACCTCGATGACCCTATAGGATTCTCTTGGATACTCTTTGCAAAGGCTGGTGCGCGAATGAAGTTGACTTGCATTTGCTTCGTTTCTCTGGTCCAAGGGACACAAAACACACCAAATTTGGGCAAGTCAGCTCAGATTCCATCGGGTGGGGATTAACCAAGCAATCCACCTACACAATCCCACACAGCTATCACCCAACAACTCCAAGAAAAACTCTTGAACCCATTAGCTTGGCAAGAAAAATGCAACATGTCGTGAATCCACAAGGTTTTTTTTCTGCGTTCTTGTCCCATCTTGTCCCCACCCGTTTCATCCCAGCTGCTGTGTCGTTGGAGGGAAGACCACTCTTCCGAGAATTGCCACAACACTGACCCATGGCTGTTCCTTGAGATTCTAGCAAAAAGGCTGCAGCAATGGTCCTGGGAAGTCCTCAGTGCGTCGTTCCCTTGACTGCTTTCAGTTGGCGAATGCATCACGCAATATCACGCCAAAAGACTGCACCATTGCACTCTGCACATACTGAGCTAGCTTCGCAGGTATGCCTCAAAGGATCTTCAGTGTCAACCTAGGGCAAACCACTCAATTCACACTGTGCCAGTGGAAGGAGACAACGCCATGCAAAGCTCTCAATCCGTCCCCACCTGAAATCACTTCAAACTCCTGCCAGCGCTCAAAATCCAAAGGACTATATACCCAGAGAGAAACTAATGTGGTGGGCAGTAAACGTGGCTGCGTCGTTTCCGGGAAAATTTTTGAAAAATCGGCAAACTCCGGGAAACGCCTGGAAAACCCGGGAAAAACTCTGGAACGGCTTGGAACATGTATCACGCAGTTATTTGAAGATGTTCGTGGATTTCGGAGCATCACAAAGCATACATATATTTTGTTCTAGGCAATCTGTGGTGATCGTGCGGACTAGCCGGGGGGGAGCAATCTTTCTCTTGGCAGATGACCCATTGTATATATTGTATCCCATCTTACAATAATTGCGGTATTTAGTCGTTTGAATCATCCCCCCTGCTCGCCGATAGCACATCTCGGCACACACGTTTTGTTTTCAGTTTGTTCGCTGTGCAAGCTCATAGTGGGTTCCGTTCCATAGGAGAAACACCTCTTTGCCATCGGGTGGGCCGAAGCGCCCAGCGCACACTAAGCTGCGGCTTTCCGAAAGAGCCCAGGTTGAGATCCTGAGAACAAATGTGTGGTGTTGGCATCCTGCTTCAAACAAGATGATGTATTGATGGTGTTGGTTGCAACAATCATTTTACCTCGATTGTGCTCAGAACCACGTTTGTGCGTTGAACATGTCTTGCAGCAAGCCGCAAGAACAAAATCTACTTGGAGTTAGTTGCTCGAAAAAACCCTGAACCGCATATGGTGGACTAGACTGGAGAGGAAAGCAACTCCAGAGGCATCAGAGGTGCCCAACTCAAGGCTAAAAAGAAGTATAGATTGATGCATCAGGTGCCCACCTGCGGGCAGGAAACCAACTCCAGGCATCAGAGGTGTCCAACTCGATGCATCAAGGGAACCCAACTCGAGGCATGCTAGATGCCCAACTCCAGGCATGAGAGGTGCCCAACTCGAGGCATCAAACGCGCCCAGCTCAAAACATGACAGGTGACCAACTCGAGGCATGAGAGGCGCCCAACTCGAGGCATGAGAGGTGCCCAACTCAATGCATCACAGGTGCTTAACTCAAAGCATGAAAGGTGCCCAACTCGAGGCATGAGAGGTGCCCACCTCAAAACATGACAGGTGCCTAGCTGAAGGCTTCAAAAGTGCCCAACTCGAGGCATTATTAAAGGTGCCCAACTCGAAGCTGAGAGGTGCCGAACTCATAGCATGAGAGGTGCGCAACTCGAAGCATCAAAGGTGCCCAACTCCAAGCATCAAAGGTGCCCAACTCAAGGCGTGGGGAGGTGCCCAACTCGAAGCATCAAAGGTGCCCAACTCGAGGCATGAGAGGTGCCCAACTCGAGGCATGAGAGGCACCCAACTCGAAGCATCAAAGGTGCCCAACTTGAGGCATGAGAGGTGCCTAACTCGAGGCATGAGAGGTGCCCGACTCGAAGCATAAAAGGTGCCCAACTCGAGGCATGAGAGGTGCCCAACTCATACCCAACTCGAGGCATAAGAGGTGCCCAGCTCGAGCATCAAAGGTGCCCAACTCGAAGCATCAAAGGTGCCCAACTCGAAGCATCAAAGGTGCCCAACTCGAAGCATGAGAGGTGCCCAACTCATACCCAACTCGAGGCATGAGAGGTGCCCAACTCGAGCATCAAAGGTGCCCAACGAAGCATGAAAGGTGCCCAACTCGAAGCATGAAAGGTGCCCAACTCGAAGCATGAGAGGCCCAGCTCGAAGCATGAAAAGATGCCCAACTTGAGGCATCATGTGGCCGGAATATGGGGTAACGCGGCTGAAACACCGCCATGGTGTTTGCCCACAACACCAAAAGGGGGAGAGCGGCTGAAATGGTGGGCAGGAATAGGGGCTGAGACACCGCCACGTTCAATGCGGGCTGAGACGCCGCCACGTTTGAACACCCACAAGATGAAAAGGGGACAGGGACTGAAGCTCCCACGCTACCCCGCAATGTCAAGGGGAATTGGCTTTGTGGGCTGGAAGGAGGGCTGAGACACCGCCACGTCGGAGAACAGGGGTGCTAGGTGGAAAAGGCGTGCCTTGGCTAGGTCATGATGTACCTTTTTTTTTCCGAGAACTGTCGTTCTCGCAAGAACGACCAAGCACAATCAAGCACATATGTGTCCCGCAGGAAACTTCACGATTTCACGGATAAATCGGGAAAAGACGGGAAAGATCGGGAATCTTCGGGATTTCACGGGTAAAGCGGGGATACGACGGGAAGAATCGGGAAATTTCGGGAAAGCAAGGGTAAAGTCGGGAAAAGACGGGAAAAGTCGGGAAACTTCGGGATTTCAGAGCAAAGATCGGGTATGAGTTGGGCACCTCTCATGCTTCGAGTTGGGCACCTTTGATGCTTCGAGTTGGGCACCTTTGATGCTCGAGCTGGGCACCTCTTATGCCTCGAGTTGGGTATGAGTTGGGCACCTCTCATGCCTCGAGTTGGGCACCTTTGATGCTTCGAGTCGGGCACCTCTCATGCCTCGAGTTAGGCACCTCTCATGCCTCAAGTTGGGCACCTTTGATGCTTCGAGTTGGGCGCCTCTCATGCCTCGAGTTGGGCACCTCTCACGCCTCGAGTTGGGCACCTTTGATGCTTCGAGTTGGGCACCTCCCACGCCTTGAGTTGGGCACCTTTGATGCTTGGAGTTGGGCACCTTTGATGCTTCGAGTTGGGCACCTCTCATGCTATGAGTTGGGCACCTCTCAGCTTCGAGTTGGGCACCTTTAATAATGCCTCGAGTTGGGCACTTTTGAAGCCTTCAGCTAGGCACCTGTCATGTTTTGAGGTGGGCACCTCTCATGCCTGGAGTTGGGCACCTTTCATGCTTTGAGTTAAGCACCTGTCATGCATTGAGTTGGGCATCTCTCATGCCTCGAGTTGGGCGCCTCTCATGCCTCGAGTTGGGGACCTTTGATGCTTCGAGTTTGGCACCTCTCATGCTTCGACTTGGGCACCTTTGAAGCCTCGAGCTGGGCACCCACCTTTGATGCCTCGAGTTGGGCACCTCTCATGGCTCGAGTTGGTCACCTGTCATGTTTTGAGTTGGGCGCGTTTGATGCCTCGAGTTGGGCACCTCTCATGCCTGGAGTTGGGCATCTAGCATGCCTCGAGTTGGGTTCCCTTGATGCATCGAGTTGGACACCTCTGATGCCTGGAGTTGGTTTCCTGCCCGCAGTTGGGCACCTGATGCATCAATCTATACTTCTTTTTAGCCTTGAGTTGGGCACCTCTGATGCCTCTGGAGTTGCTTTCCTCTCCAGTCTAACCAGTGTCACCACCCGGTCTGCCCAGCGCCTTGCCGCTCCAGCTGTCACCGCACCTTCATACCGGAGGATCAAGGAGCCTTCCGAAAAGCTTGCAGCACTGACGCTGCACTGACGAGCAGCCAAAGCAGCTTTCACTGTCTGCTCTAACTTCTTCAGGTCGCAGTGGCCCGGTATTCCAACCTGCGACCACCGATACAAAATCCGAACGTGGGTGCGAACCTGATACAGCCCATACTCCTGATTCTACAAGCCTATCAAATTGCAGAAAGATCAATAAGACCAACAAAAGGAAAATGCAACATGCCAAATCATAGCTCCCACCTTGAAGTGCTTTGCTTTCGCTGCTTCTTTCATGAGAGGACCAGCGCATCAGCTCATCTTGGGCCAGAACTCTGCACACATGAAATCTAGAGTTTCAGCCATCAACAAAGGCCAGTTTGGTGGAGTAGTGGGCATTTGACCTTCAATTCAATTTCCTGCCAGCCAGTCCTTTCAACAACACCGTCAGGTGATTTCATGCTTTAAACCAGAGGGTCCAGAAAGTTTTCTGGAGTTTCCTGATTTTTCATGATGTCTGGCAGCGGGGACACCGCCACGTTTACCAACATCCACGTTAGTTTTTTTATGATATACTTCTCTCGCATTCGCACACCCATAGAAAGTCTAGAAGTCCTGAGGGCTTCGAGTACGTCGTCGATGGGCACGGTGATGTTCACCGATTGGTGCAATCCAATCCCGCGAAGCATCACCTCAGAAACAGAGATCGACCGCAGCGCCACCATGTTCTGCATCCTGTCACCTTCCCGCTGGCATGGCTATTTCAAATCAAGATGGTAGTTGCCACCGACTACCCATGTTCCACAGCACTTGAAAAAGAAAAGCTCAAGATACTTCAAGAATACTATATAATATAATTATTTAAATATGTGTAATATTGTATATGTGCGTGTGTGTGTGTGTAAGAATATGTTCAAGACCCTTCTATACCTTTCAAAGTCGGAATCCTTGCCCAGGCACCAATCTGTATTTGAAGTCCAGGGCGAAGCCTCGAATCTCTGCCACCCTGGGCCTGCCGCCTGGAAATCCCAGTTCTCCCTGTGCTCTGAGGTGAGGACTGTTGTGTGCTGTGTATTGGGAGTGAGGCTCCGGCCTTTCCAAACTGTGGCTGGATACAACTGCTCTGTACAAAGCCCGGGAAAGGATGGCAAAATAGTTATCTCAAATGTTGCAAGAACTGTGGCAGGAACAGTGCAGGAACACTTTTTCTTCCTCTGGCCCTTGCGAGAGGGTATGTCAGTCCATTGGTACGATGAAGGGCATCTAATCTAGCTACAGTATTTTGCAAAAAATGTAGTGTGCAACGTGTGCCGAAGGCTGAGAGACATGTCTGCTAGCCGCGAAGACAGTGCGATGACAATGCTTCGACTTTGTGAAGCATGGCCGCATTTTTGTGATGTGCCACTTGTTGAATGAAGTCCCCCAAAGCCTGATATCAAGCAAAACGTCAAAATCAAAGCGAAGCACTATGGCCGTCATGTGCGTCATGTTCAGGGCGGCCAAATTTATACGTGACACGTTGCGGCACTCCAGTCAAATACCCCTTGCTGATCTTGTCCAAGAAACCATATTCCCAGCAGCTTTAATCTGCTTCACCTCTGCCACGGCTTGGGCTGAGGTCAGCACCCTCACGCCAGCCTCCGGGCTGTCGCAAGCATCAACACATATCAACACTTTGGAGACTTGCAGGTGTGTTGAGTGTGTTGTTGGGCTACAGCATTACATCTGCAAAGCAACCTGTCGGTCATCTCAGTCATCTGCGCGAAACAATGACATTATATATTACGACGAGATGAAGTCCTAAGCAGCTGTAGCTTCAAGAATGGGAAATTCAGCAACCAACACTGAGCAAACAAGACGCTGTGTGCATCTTCGACCTCTGATCAAGGTTCATTCCCGGAGGAGGAGTCCCCAGTCGGCAACGACACAGCTCCGGGTTGCCTCGTTCAGGACTTTCTTCGTTGGCAGCACCTCGCTTTCACTCAGAGGTTTGCAGGCATCTTCGATCACCTGAGAAGGCACACAGCGCGAGTTTTTCCACGCCGGCATGATGGCACGTGAATCTAAGAGGACCTGCTTAACATCTCCCAAGTTTGTGAGATGTGGACGAGACCCTCTTACGACTTGGTCTGAAGTTGATCAGGTGCCTTCCCATGTCTCGCTTCCTTAGACCTTCAGAATCCTTGAGACCTCTGAATGCAGCCAATATCAGCCAATCGACAGACACGCGGAAGCCCATCTCCGCTCCATGGAGCGCAGACGACTTGACACATATGTCGAAGACCAAGCCACAACCTAAGTGACGGCATGAAGATCCAATGGCCTTCCCATGACTTCATAGTCATTCATAGTTTGCAAATGTTTGAAATAGGTTCAATATGTTTCTTTGTTTTTCTCTGGCGCTTCTTAATTGCAGGTGTGTAGCGCTTTGAACATATTTGAACATAGTTTACAATCAGCCTGCCCCTTACATGTCCTGAAGTCAAGTTGAAGTGAGTTGCAATAGACATCGGTGACTCCAGCGTCTTCAAGCTGCTTCGTCAGGCCAGTGTCATTGGCTTTGCAGTTGTCGAAAAAAGCGGAATAGGAATCGATGTTGGCCTTCTTTCCCTTGTACACCTGGGTCTGGTAGGAAAAAATTGATCGTTTACACACTGAATATACTCAAGAGTCGAAGAGCGGTGACGTCACCAGCCAATCGACACAAATCAACAGAAATCAGCTTGATTCAGGCGCAAAGTGGCGCTCCATGGGGCGATCTGAACTGCTGCCGGTTGACGGACATATCTTCGGGTTTCACCACCAGATCTTTGTGGCATTCACCGCCCCACGTGTTCCTCAAACGCATCAGATGTTCATCGTCACATTTTGATCACTTTGCTGCTTTGCTACTAGGCTCGCGCTCAGCCGTCTCACATGCCCTCTGGGTTCTAGCGATCCGCATGAACTATTTCAGCTCAAAGTCTGAACAGCATGGCGGGGATACAGCATTTGTGGATGTTCTGCGCGATCTGCATCACCCAGCAGGGTCACCTAGCACATAAGAGCAAGATCTTGGCATCGGTAGCTTCGTGGAAGTCAGGGCAGGGATTGTTGTACATGGATGTACATGAATGATATAGGAAAGTCAACGCCTTAATCAAAAATCATTAGTCGCTTGTCAACAGGTTTCCCTCTGCGTATCGTTTTTTTTTCCATTCTGCCAGGTATTTGGTCCATCTAGATGGGGAATGGGAAGTTTGCACTACAAACATGTCCGCTGCAACCTGGACGTTTGCCCGGAGTTGATGTCCCGCCTTTTAAATCGTGTAAGTTGATGTTATTACCCCATTCAACATTGGTCATAGGGGGTGGCAAATTTTAATCCCTCATGAAGATAAAGTTGATGTTATTATCCCAATCAACGTATTGTTCAGAGGGGGTGGCGAATTTTGATCCCTCATGAAGATAAAGTTGATGTACTTCCCGAATCAACACATTGGTCAGAGGAGGTGGCGAGTTTTGATCCCTCATGAAGATAAAGTTGATGTTGTTAGCCCGTTCAGCATATTGGTCATAGGGGGTGGCGGATTTTGATCCCTCATGAAGATAAAGTGGATTTGTCTCTGTTTAGTTGTCCGTGTTATGTCACAATCATGAGTCTGGGCGAACGTTAAGGTTGCGGACAACATGTCTTGCAGTCGTAGGTTTCTGCTTTAAGGGTTCCTTTCAATAGATCCCGCTTTCCTCTTCATCCATCCATTCCATCTACGCACCTGTCTGCGGGTTGTTCATCTATGGATCCAAAACACCCATCCATTTCGCAATTCGTTTTATTCCCATCCAGCATGAATCAAAGGATTCAACCCCTCAATGGCTCAGCAGCGGCTCAGCTCAGTCGCTAACACATGTAAAACTTTGAAACTGAATCCAATAGAGCATTCTTAATCATTCTTATGCATGGCTTGCCCGTTTTATCTTCTCAAATTTAAAGACCGTGTCCAAAGGGACTATGACCTCTGGGCCTCTGGGCGAATAGAAATTGTGGAAACCCGGAGCTTTTGGGGGAAACCTGTCCACAAGATTTAAAGAGATAAGATAACCACAGAATGACTGCACAATAATGAAAGGGCTTAAAACAATGACATTGTCAAGAAATGGACCGTCAGTCATGCCGTTTGAGTGCAAAAGCGTAAGCAAACAAAATGAATGAGTATGAACGAGTCAAAGTCTGTAAAACCAGCTCAGCAATTGCCCAGCTGATTCTTCAAAACTTCAAACGTCTTCAAGTCAAAACCCCCCAAAAAAAGTTCTAAACATGTTCAGTAGTGGGGAGGACAAAGTCTTCCTCATAATGTACCCCTATGCCGCCTATGCCCTATGTCGGCACAGTCTTACCCTCTGGAATTCACCAGGAAGCCAGGCCTGAGTGAACGCTTTGAGCTTGCCAACACTCCTTAGCATGGACGTGCCCCGTGCTGTTTCACACAACTCATCAGCGGGATTCAAAAGGATATAGATGTGTTAATTCTGTTAATGTTGTTATATAGATGTTTTCAAATATAGACTGACTATAGACCAAAACATTGTAGCATATCACAACATAGTGCATGTGAATCACTCAGAAAGATATAAAGACTTGAATCAGTTGATGTAATGTTGATGTTATTTACATCCTAACTGCCGCCAACTTACTCAGTTTCTTTCATTGCCACTTTCCCGGCATTGGCACTCTCAACGAATGAGCAATGCTCATGTGGATGCCAGTCATATGAAATCACGACCTTGGCGATGCCATCTGGCCATACTCAGATTAAAGAAAGAAACTCAAACCTGTCGATCTCGTGTCAAACTTGATGCGAATGCAACACAAGCCTGCCCAGTCTCATGTGCAGTGCTAGCGAATTTCAGATGCTTTCACCATCAGTTCTCAGGCCAAGGGTCACAATCGAACTGATCTCGCATCTGGTTAATGGTGGGAACGATGCCTTCAGATGTCTGCACGGCCAGCGTACCAGAAATGAAGTCGTTCTGGACATCAATCACCAAAAGTGCCTCATCAGATCATTGAAAGCAGAATGAGTGCGGTCCTGGGGCTTATGTGTATTCTGTATTCATACCATCCATCCTCATCCTCTTTGGTCCAGGCACCGTCTTCCTCCGCATGGTCTTGGAGGACGAATCGTAAAAGCGTAGAAAAGCATGAAGCTCATTCAAACCAATTGTTCCACTCTTGTCTGCGTCGAACTCATTCATGAAGTCGTCCACTTGCTTGTTTGACAGATCCTTGCCTGCCGGAAGCACTTCCAAAAAGACTTGATAGTACGCCTGGGAAACACATTAAAATGGAGGCCTGGAAAGGCATCACGCAAGAAAGCTGCCAACCTCAGTTTCATTGCAGTGGTAGGTGGTCAGAGCATGGGACGCTGATCTTTTTTTGCCCTAAGATTCAGCATGAGCCAAGATGCTCTGACGTTTCCAGCTGGCCATTTCCATTCGCATCGTACTGCTGGAAGATGCTTGCCTCTAACCCCATCTGCGATAGTGCGCATGTCTGGGCTCACTTTCAAAGGAATGATGGTGAATGACATGCCGGCACTCTAAATTTGCCGACATAAACATCCCGGCGGACCTGGCACCGGCCCATGATTGTCCAAAAATTGTTGTTTCGCTGTGGCGCCAGCGCGATTTCATGTGGCAAACGACCATCAAAAAAAACATCCGCCTTACTGTGGCTTGCAACCCTTACAGGGTTTTGTGCTGCAAAACCCGACGAACGAACAAAGTGGCCTTTTCTCTTCACCGCATGAGAGATCTTACAGCTTCGCTAGTTGCGGTCAGCAAGTCGAAGCCAGTATGTTCCCATCTCCATTGTTGACTTCGAATGTACTTGAACAACAAACCATTGCGTTTGCCTTGGACTTGGGAACGAATGCTGTCTGGAATTGACTTTTTCATCTATTTCCAGTTGCCATCGACGCCGCATCATGTCTTGCAGTACTGACGAATGGTATCACAACATATCACAACCCACCCCACCCCACCCCATGCGTAGCGTAGCATCGCATCATGTCTTGCAGTACTGACGAATGGTATCACAACCCACCCCACCCCACCCCATGCGTAGCGTAGCATCGCATCATGTCTTGCAGTACTGACGAATGGTATCACAACCCACCCCACCCCACCCCATGCGTAGCGTAGCATCGCATCATGTCTTGCAGTACTGACGAATGGTATCACAACCCACCCCACCCCACCCCATGCGTAGCGTAGCCAACGCACGCATCATGTTCTTGCAGTACTGACGAATGACACCCCACCCCACCCCACCCCACCCTACCCCAATTTGTGGGCCGGTAAAAGGTCCGTCTGCATAAACATGCCGATAAAGGTGAAGACACAATGCCAAACACAATTCCTTCACAGCTTCCACTAGAGCAAGTGAATAGAGTGAATCTGAGGTATATACAGGCTTGGCAGTCGTCACACCGACCCATGCCAAATAATCACATAGCATAAGCGGGCATAAAAATCGTGCAGCTTGCATCTCGCACACAGGTCAAGCTATTAATCGGAAACTAAAACCCGTTAATCGGAAACAAAAACCCGTGAATCGGAAACCAAAACCAGTTAATCGGAAACTAAAACCTGTTAATCGGAAACCAAAAGAATCGAAAACTAAAACCCGTGAATCGAAAACTAAGAACATTGAATCGTAAACCAAAACCCCGGAATCGGCAACCACAGCTGAATCGTAAACTAAAGCAGGTGAATCGGAAACTAAAACCGGAGAATCGGAAACTAAGAACATTGAATCGTAAACCAAAACCCCGGAATCGGCAACCACAGCTGAATCGCAAACTAAAGCAGGTGAATCGGAAACTAAAACCGGAGAATCGAAAACTAAGAACATTGAATCGTAAACCAAAACCCCGGAATCGGCAACCACAGCTGAATCGTAAACTAAAGCAGGTGAATCGGAAACTAAAACCGGAGAATCGAAAACTAAGAACATTGAATCGTAAACCAAAACCCCGGAATCGGCAACCACAGCTGAATCGTAAACTAAAGCAGGTGAATCGGAAACTAAAACCGGAGAATCGAAAACTAAGAACATTGAATCGTAAACCAAAACCCCGGAATCGGCAACCACAGCTGAATCGTAAACTAAAGCAGGTGAATCGGAAACTAAAACCGGAGAATCGGAAACTAAATCAGCTGAATCAATCAGAATGGGCAACTTGTCTCCTTCAATCGGAAAGAGAAGTTGGAGGTACTATCCTGTTCAGAATAATGGCCAGAGGGGGTGGAGGAATTGATTTCTTATGAATATAAGCTGAAGGATGCTGAAGGTAATATCTCATTCAACATTTCAACATAATGGTCAGAGGGGGTGCCGGATTTGGTCCCTTATGAGGATACTTTGAAGGTAATATCTCATTCAACATAATGGTCAGAGGGGGTGCCGGATTTGGTCCCTTATGAGGATACTTTGAAGGTAATATCTCATTCAACATAATGGTCAGAGGGGGTGCCGGATTTGGTCCCTTATGAGGATACTTTGAAGGTAATATCTCATTCAACATAATGGTCAGAGGGGGTGCCGGATTTGGTCCCTCATGAGGATACTTTGAAGGTAATATCTCATTCAACATAATGGTCAGAGGGGGTGCCGGATTTGGTCCCTTATGAGGATACTTTGAAGGTAATATCTCATTCAACATAATGGTCAGAGGGGGTGCCGGATTTGATCCCTTCTGAGGATACTTTGAAGGTAATATCTCATTCAACATAATGGTCAGAGGGGGTGCCGGATTTGATCCCATATGTGGATAGGTTCAAGGTAATATCTCATTCAACATAATGGCCAGAGGGGTGCCGGATTTGATGTCTGAAGATAAGTTGAAGGTAATATCCCATTCAACATAGTGATCAGAGGGGGTGGCGGATTTGATCCCTTATGAGGATAAATTGACGGTAATATATCATTCAACATAATGGCCAGAGGGGGTGGCAGATTTTTTTCCCTCACGAGGAAAAAATAAATAAATGCAATATCCTTTTCAACATTGTGTTCAGAGGGGGTGGCGGGTTTGATCCCTTGTGAGGATAAGCTGGCGGTAATATCTCATTCAACAAAATGTTCAGGGGGGTGGCAGATTTGGTTTCAGATTCGCTTTTTTTGGTTTCTGATTCGTGGGCTTGTTTGGTTTCTGATTCGCGGATCTTGGTGTCTGATTCGCAATTTTTAGTTTCTGATTCTCAGTTTCTGATTCGCGGGGTTTTGTATCTGATTCCTGTACTTTAGTTTCTGATTCGCGCGGTTTTTGGTTTCTGATTCGTGGGATTTTGGTTTCTGATTCCCGGATTTGTTTCTGATTCGCGGATTTTAGTTTCTGATTCTTTGTTGCCGATTCGCGGGAAGTTTCTGATTCGAGGTTTGTTCCTCGCACACAAAGCATGCGTCTTGCAGGTTCTAGCAATTTGAAGGCGTCACTTAAAAGGCGATAGATAGATAGATAGATAGAGATATAGATATAGATATAGATATAGAGATCTATATATATATTATATTATATTAAAGATTGAATTTAAACATTAATAGAATATAGTAGAACATTGTGACCTACCTAGAATAGAATAATATAGAATAGAGTAGAGTAGAATAGGATAGGATAGGACAGAATAGAATAGAATAGAAATGAATAGAATAGAATAGAATAGAATGGACTATTGTCGGATTGTTCAGCTACTCTAACTTTGCAGTGTTTTGCTGCAAGCGCACACATCTGGTCGTGCAGGGGTTGCTTTCCTATTCTTGGCCTCAAAATCCGAGATGCAGTGTGTCTGGGAATGGTTGACTGACTGCAGCAACCACCCATGGCTGGAAGCTTGGCTGCGTTTCAAATATTTGCCTGACTGTCCGGGAGGGTGCAAAAGTGGCTGCAGACCCTGAACTTCTAATGACTTGACACTCCAATAATCTCCAGTACCAATCAATGTGAGTCAATGCAAGTCAAAGTCCAACGGTCCAACGCTTCTCTGGAGCAATGGGCCGCCGCACAGGTTGATGTCGACAATGCCAGTTCTTGGTCTGCAAAACACAACATTTGCCTGTCCCGAGCCATGCCTTGGTGAATGTGACACAACGCAAAGCTACTATGTCGAGCCTGAGCTTGGTGGATAGGAAGTCTTCACAAAAGTGCGGCCAGGAACTGCTGCAACAGTCTACAAAACACCTCAAAATATGTCAAACCAATATATGCACACATATGACATTATGAAGGAATGGCTGAATGGTTTCCTCACCGTGACCCTCTGGATTTCACTGCCATGATACAGCCCCACCACCAGGTCTGCAGAGCGGAAGAGATGCAAAGCCTCATGAGCAGTTGGCCTCAGAAATTTGCCCCTGGGCTCACCAACCAGTTCTGACGAATCTTTCGTCGACACTGAAAAACCGTTCAAGTTGACATAGCGCACCATGTCCCAACGGTCCCAACGGTCCCAACGGCTCACCTCTGGTGATCCCATAACTAGAAGTGAACCATCGGCCGCTGGAGCTTTGCTTGGAGGTATTCGTGGTTCATGACTGACACCACAACGACACAGATCAGCACACCAGTGGAAGTGGATGTGGCTCGTGCTGAGCTCGCTTCGCTGGTGGAATGTCCGAAAAGACCTTCAGCTGCCAACCTCTCAATGATCAAGAATGACACCAATCTGACAGAATCTGACAGAATCTGACATGATTCCACCATATTTATCAATATTTCACCATCACTGAATCCTTCGGCTCTCTGCCTGACCCCATCTCTGCCATCATGGCATGCAACAGGGCTTCTTCATTGGCCACTCGCCGAGTCGTTGCGGTTGCGCGTTGGATCCAAAGCAGAGTGTGATTTCGAGATCTTGGAGATCCTGGAGATGGTGGATCTGAAAATGCTGCATGAACAAACATGAATCTTATTAGAAAAGAAAAGAGACAAAATGAGACAAAATGAGACAAAATGAGACAAAAATACTCGCGTCGTTGTTTGAAATGTGGCCTTCTTCTTGATTTCCTGTTTCTTGAAACCCCAATGCTTGACCAACTGCAAGTCTGCGCCTCGACAAAGTGAAACAATTGTCGTTTGCAATCGTTTGCAGCAGTTTGCTCGCAAGAAATCCATTGGAATTCGTGAATCTAAGCTCGGGACAAGTTTTGGAGCGCCCAGCGTGGCGGCAGGAGGAAGACATCTTCTCTCTTTGCTGATTCAGGCGCATCCTCAGTCATCGCAATTTCCGAGCCCAAAGCTGTTCTGAACCCAAGGATCGTGCATGCCAATCCACCATGTGAAGCCTCAGCAGGAGAACTTACAGTACGTCAGAGACTGGAACAAACTCCTTGGATGTTTTCCACGGCTTTATACGGCTTTATCAGCTGTTGCTTGCGTTCTTTTCTGCAATGAATTTCCCTAGCTCTCTGTGCTGCAAAGCTCAAGGGTCCCGCTCGCGCACCAGAAACCGTGGTTCAGCAACCCGTTCCGGGCCCATGAAGTGCGGTCGCACCTGGGGTGGCACCGCGAAGCCATGGGACGAAGTCTTTCGGTTCATTTTTCTGAGCCCCTGACGTCGTATGGAATCACTTCGAAGCCTCCAAAGAAAGGGAAAACATATGAAAACATGGAAAAACACATGTTTTGAAACTTCCAGCTCTGCGAAGTGGGGTGTATTGCCATGCGATGAGCCATCACTTGTTCAACGATGCGGATTTTTTGGGGAAATCGAAGAACCAGCGAACCTCCAAGAAGCGCAAACCAGTCATACATGAAGCCTTTCAGCTTCCCCCGATCTGCAGGCACCTTGGAGCTTTGAAAGCTGAAAGGTTTCTGCTGTACCATGCCCGGTCAAGAGGCGAGCCAGTAGAGGCACACGCTGCTTGCTGACCTGAACGATTCAGCCAGCGGGTGTTGGCAAAGATAGATGGGCAGCACGCAACGACCGCATCATACTGCAGCCAAGCCATTCAGGATCAGAGTTGCTATATGTTGCTACACATGATCAAGGAGACCAGGGACCTGCTCATTAGGAAATACCAGTAGTACCCGCACGAGGCGGGGCGGAAGTTGCCTTAAAGATATATATAAGACCTTTCTCATCTATAGAACTTGCATGCGCCGTGCGCCAGCCAAGCCCGTGCGTGCGTGCACTCTGCGAAAGTTGTGTCCTGCTTCACATGTCACATGTGAAGCTCCACTTCACACTTCACACTCCACACTTCACACTTCACACTGCACTCTTCGCACTCCACACTTCACACTTCACACTGCACTCTTCGCACTCCAAACTTCACACTTCACACTTCTCACTTCTCACTCCACACTTCACACTCCACACTTTACACTCCACGCTTCACACTTCTCACTGCTTTCTTCAGACTCCACACTTCATACTTCACACTTTACACGTCACAGTCCACACTTCACACTTCTCATTGCTTTCTTCACACTCCCCACACTTCTTCACTCCACAGAGAAGCTTTTACAGACAGCAAGCTTTCACACACAGCAAGCATTTACACACAGAACACTTACACACAGTGCTTTTACACATGGCAAGCGCTTACACACACACACAGAAACTTTTACACAGAGAAGCTTTTACACACAGTAAACTTTTACACACAGCAAGCTTTCACACACAGCAAGCGTTTACACACAGTACTTGCACACAGTGCTTTTACACATGGCAAGCGTTTACACAGAACACTTACACACAGTGCTTTTGCACATGGCAAGCGTTTACACACACAAAAAAAAACTTTAACAGAGACACTTTTAACACATGCGCAGATAAGCTTTTACACACAGCAAACTTTTACACACAACATCTTTTACACATAGCAAGCTTTCACACACAGCAAGCGTTTAGACACAGAACACTTACACACAGTACTTGCACACAGTGCTTTTACACATGGCAAGCGTTTACACACAAACTTTTCCACACAGGAATTGCAGCTCCAAAACCGGATCTCGACGCCAAAGCAGGAAAAAGACGATTTTGAAGCATTTTTTAAAAGGAATTTTAAAAGGGAAATTACTAGCGCCAAAATTGCGAAAATCTGCTGACAAATCACTATCGCAGCCTGGATGCAGCCACTCCAATACGATTTACAATCTTCAGCTGCAAAAGACAATAGTATTACGCATGCAGCCGCGGCGGCAAGCAACCTTGAGGCAGCCACTCCAATGCGATCTGCAGAGACTGAGTTGCAAATCACAATAGAACTAAGCGCAATGGCGTCGGAAATTGCAGCTCCAAAACCGGATCTCGACGCCAAAGCAGAAAAAGACGAGTTTGAAGCATTTTTTAAAAGGAATTTTAAAAGGAAAATTACTAACGCCAAAATTGCGAAAATCTGCTGACAAATGACTATCGCAGCCTGGATGCAGCCACTCCAATACGATTTACAATCTTCAGCTGCAAAAGACAATAGTATTACGCATGCAGCCGCGGCGGCAAGCAACCTTGACGCAGCCACTCCAATGCGATCTGCAAGCACAGATTCCAAAACACCCTATAACTACGCACACACAAGCACACCCAAAGCAGCTTGAAGCCACCGTTACGATGCGGCAAAAAAAAAAGCAAACCGACCGCAGCCGCACCCGCCGCACAGACGAGGTACCTTTCATCGCCGGCTACAGCCACTTTACACGGAAAAACACAAGGTTTCGTGCTCCGGCTTCCTCCCCAAAACAGAGCCCTTGCAACATCATGCAGCCATTCCAATGCGATCTGCAAGCACAGATTCCAAAACACCCTAAAACTACGCACACACAAGCACACCCAAAGCAGCTTGAAGCCACCGTTACAATGCGGCAAAAAAAAAGGCAAACCGACTGCAGCCGCACCCGCCGCACACACGAGGTACCTTTCATTGCTGGCTGCAGCCACTTTACACGGAAAAACACAAGGTTTCGTGCTCCGGCTTCCTCCCCACAACAGAGCCCTTGCAACATCATGCAGCCATTCCAATGCGATCTGCAAGCACAGATTCCAAAACACCCTATAACTACGCGCACACAAGCACACCCAAAGCAGCTTGAAGCCACCGTTACACTGCGGCAAAAAAAAAACGACCAACCGACCGCAGCCGCACCCGCCGCACAGACGAGGTACCTTTCATCGTCGCCTGCAGCCACTTTACACGGAAAAACACAAGGTTTCGTGCTCCGGCTTCCTCCCCACAACAGAGCCCTTGCAACATCATGCAGCCATTCCAATGCGATCTGCAAGCACAGATTCCAAAAACACCCTATAACTACGCACACACAAGCACACCCAAAGCAGCTTGAAGCCACCGTTACACTGCGGCAAAAAAAAACGATAAACCGACCGCAGCCGCACCCGCCGCACCGACGAGGTACCTTTCATCGTCGCCTGCAGCCACTTTACACGGAAAAACACAAGGTTTCGTGCTCCGGCTTCCTCCCCAAAACAGAGCCCTCGCAACATCATGCAGCCATTCCAATGCGATCTGCAAGCACAGATTCCAAAACACCCTATAACTATGCACACACACAAGGACACCCAAAGCAGCTTGAAGCCACCGTTACACTGCGCCAAAAAAAAAACGATAAACCGACCGCAGCCGCACCCGCCGCACAGACGAGGTACCTTTCATCGTCGCCTGCAGCCACTTTACACGGAAAAACGCAAGGTTTCGTGCTCCGGCTTCCTCCCCACAACAGAGCCCTTGCAACATCATGCAGCCATTCCAATGCGATCTGCAAGCGCAGATTCCAAAACACCCTATAACTACGCACACACAAGCACACCCAAAGCAGCTTGAAGCCACCGTTACACTGCGGCAAAAAAAAACGATAAACCGACCGCAGCCGCACCCGCCGCACAGACGAGGTACCTTTCATCGTCGC